TGAGGTCTCTGTTTCATCTTGAGTTCGTTTTTCGACATGGTATGAGGTAGGGGTCCTGTTTCATTCTTTTGCAGGTGATGATCCAGTTTCTCCAGCACCATTTGTTGAAAAGGCTCTCTCTTGCCCATCTAACTTGTTTTCGTGCTGGTGCAGGAGTAACGCATTGGGCTGTGGTCACAGTTAGAAACCACCAGCCGCTTCTCAGAAGGACAGGACTTTCACCTATAAACAGATACAGTCTCAGAAACTCACAGGAGCAGTTTGATCTGGTCCTGGGGGGCCTCCATGAGTCAGTATTGACCCAATGGCAGGGAAGTTTGGGGGGGATTTCAGTCCATCAAAAATTAGGTGTATATAAGTATTTGGTTGTATTTTGAGGTTCTCAATTCTAATCCATTGGCCATCATATCTATCTTTGTACCAGTGTTGGGCTGTTTTGATTACCAAGGCTATATAGTAGGTTTTAGGGTCTGGGACTGAAAGACCTGCTACTTTGTTTTTATTTTTTAATAGTGTTTTATTTATTCTGGGTTTCTTTCCTTTCCATATAAAGTTGGTGATTAGTTTTCCAATGTCTTTAAGAATTGTGGTGGGATTTTTATCAAAGTTGCGTTGACTTTATAAACTATTTTTGGTAATATTGACATGTTCACAATGTTTAGTCTGTTTATCCAAGAACACGGTAACCTGCTCCAATTATGCAAGTTCTTTCTGGTGACTTGAAGGAGTGTTTTGAGGTGTCCTCTATCAGTGTTTTGATTCTCTGGTATGATAGTCTTTTCTTTTTTTCTTTTCTAACCCTAACCCTAATCTCTGGTAAGATTTATTCCCAAACATTTTCTCTTTTGTGGAGTTTTTGTAAATGACATGTTCTTTTGAAATCTTTTTCATTGTCGTCATCCTTAAGCTACAAGAATACAACTGATTTCTCCACATTGATCATCTAGCCTGTTACCCTGCCAAGTTTTTCAATATGTTTGAGCAGTTGTTTAATTGAATCTTGGGGGTTTCTATATGAAGGATTGTGTCATCTGCAAATAAAGAGAATTTTATTTCTTCTGTGCCTCTGTGGATAGCTGTAATATCTTTTTTATGTCTTATGGTTCTAGCTACAACTTCTGGGACTCTGTTAAATAAAAGTGGTGATACAGGGCAAACTTGTCTAGTTCTCTTTTGAAGAGGATATTATTTAAATGTCTCTCCATTAAAGGGAGACTACTGGTTTTGCATACATGGCTTTCAGTATGTTAAGCAATTTCCCTTATATACCTAAATTATTAAGTGTTTTTATCAGGAATTGATGTTGAATTTTGCCAAATGCTGTTCTGTATCGATATAATCATATTGATATTCTTCTCCCTTATTTTGTTTTTGTGGGAAACTACATTGTTTTTCTAATTATTAAACCATTCTTGCATATTTGATATGAATCCCACTTGATCATGAAGTACTTGTTGATGCTTAGTTGAATTCTGTCAGCTAGAATTTTATTAAAGATCACGGCATCTATATTCATTAGAGATATTCATCTGTAAATTTAAATTTTTGCCTGGTTTAGGCATCAGAGTTATAGTTGCTTCATAAAATGAATTTGGTAGTATATTGTCTATCTATACATTGTAGAATAGATTATATAAAATTGGCATTAATTATTCCCTAAACGTTTGATAGGATTCCCCACTGAAGCCACCTGGGCGCAGACTTTTTGATGTTGAGAGTTATTATTATTTTTTTAATGATTAAAACTATTTCTTCTCGTGCTATAGGCTTGTTGAGATTTTCCACATCATTTTGTGGAAATTTAAGAAAATAAGGCATTTCTCAAAATGTATCTATTTCTTCTAGATTCTCACATTTGCTGGAGTAAATTTTTTCATAATATTGTGATTTTCTTCATCTCATTTGGTTCTGTGTTAATATATGCATTTCATTTCTTATTCATAGAATTTGACTTTTTCTCAGTTTTTCCTTTGTTGGTTTCCCAGTAGTTTATCAGGTTCATTCATCTTTTCAAGGAACCAACTTCTTGTCTTATAATGTTTTCTATAGATTTTTATCTTCTGACTCATTTATTTCTGCCTCATCTTTATTATTTCTTTTCTTCTAGTATCTGATGGTTTGTTTTGCTGAAATTTTTCCAATTGTTGTAGTAGATGTGTTAAGATGTTTATTCTAATTATTTCTGTCCTCTTGATGTGTGCAATTATTTCTATAAACGGAGCTGAGTACTGCTTTTTCTGTCTCCCAAAGGTTTTAATATATTGTATTTTTTCATGCTCACTTATTTCAAAGAATATTTTGATTGCGTTATTTCTTCAGTTATCCAATCGTTCTTAAGAAAAGTGTTGTTCAATTTCCATGGATTGATTTCTTTGGAGTTTATTCTTCTGTGGTCGATTACTGATTTTACAGCCCTGTGATCCAAAAAGATGGTTGGTATTATTATCTCTATATTTTTTAATTAATTGATGTTTGCTTTATGACCAAGAATATGATCTATTCTAGAATAGCTATCATGGGCACTAGGAAGAAAAGAGAAATGGGTTTTTTTGGTGAAGTGTTTTATATATATATGATCAAGTTGATTGATTTTATTTAATTTTTTTGTATCTTAGTTGATTTTGTTTCTAGTTAACCTACCTCTAGTTGAAAGTGATGTATTGAAGTCTCTTCAATACATTTTATATTATTATATATACATATACATGTATAAATATACATGTATATATACATCATAGTATTACCATATTATGTATACATAATACCATATGGTGTATACATCATTATATTACCATATTATGGTCTACTTGTCTTTTCATTTCTATAACAATTTGATTCATGCATTTTGATGGTATTTCATTTGGTGCATATATATTAATTGTGGTTATGGCTTCTTGTTCAATTAAAGCTTTCATAATTATCATATATAGAGACCTTCATTATGTCATTAACTTTGATGTCTATTTTGTTTGAGATTAATATTGCTACTCCAGTTTTCTTTTTACTGCTGTTAGATTGATATTTTTTTCCTCCATCTTTGATTTTCAGTCTGTTTATTTTTATATCTAAGGTGCATTAATTGTAAGCAGCATATTAAAGATTCATGTTTTTAATTCATTCTGTTAGGTTGTGTCTTTTAACTGATGAATTCAGTCCATTTATATTCAGTGTTGTTATTAATACATATGGTTTTGTTGATGTCATTTTAATTTTTTATGGTTTTACTGGTTTCCGTTTCCATGGTGATTTGGGGGGTTCTGTTCCTTTTATTTCTTGGTTGTCTTCTTGATCCTTCCTTTGCTTTTTTTGTTTTTATCCCATTGTTTGTTTTACTTAGATGGTTTCCTTCTTGTTTGTTTTGTTGAAGTTTTAATTTTTTCTTTGAAAGCTGTTTGTTTTTTTAGTTTTCTTCCCAATTTCAAAACAGTTTGCTTTATTTTGGGAACGGTTTGATATCTTCTCCATTTGAGTACTTATTTTGTCCTCTCTTTTCTCTGCTCTTGTTTATTCATTTGTTTTTGTCTTCATAGCAGAATGTTGTCTATGATTGTTTATTTTAATTTATTTGGTTCCATTTCACTTTGAGTGTTGCTTCAGTGGAATGTTTTCCTCCATACTAACTTCTTTTCTAAAATTGTAGGTTGCTGTCTGTTGTTACTGATTTTCTGTTCACAGAATTCCTTTTAATATGTTTTGTAACATTGGTCATGTTTTCATAATTCCTTTAGTGTTTCCTTGTCTGTAAACATTTGTATTCTCCTTCATATTTGAAAGGTAATATTTCTAGATAGAAGATTCTTGGTGGACATGCTTTTTTCCTTTCAGAATTTTGAATATGCCATTCCATTGACTTCTTGCCTCAGTTTCCGTGGAAAAATCTGAACTTATCCTAATCACTTCATCTTTAGACGTCATTATTTTTTGTTTTGTTTTGTTTGTTGCGCTGCTCTCAGGACTGTTTGTTCATCTTTAATATTAGAAAGTTTGATTATTAGTGTTGAGGTGGTTTCCTTTTAGGGCAAATTCTGTTTGGAGTACTATGAACTCCCTGCGTAGTTCTTTGTTTTGGCATGATGTTAGGGAAGCCCTCCCTGAATATCTCATCAACTATTTTCTCAGTAGTTATTATTTCTTCTTTCTGTTCTGGAACATTTATCTGGTATATGTTGTTCCTTTTGATGATTTTCCATAGTATTCTTAGATTATCTTTAGTAAATTTCTTTTTATGTTTGACTCTGAATAAATATTTATCCCCCACACCCTGGCTAAGGAACCTGAGTCGTTGAGGGAGGCCACGCAGTTGTGCACCAGGTTAGCCTCAACAGGGGCCAAAGTCAACAAGCAGTTAAATATGGGCCCTGTCACTGTCCTCACGGCCTCTAGTTACCACTGACTCAATATCCCTGTAGGACATGATAGAACTCCCCCTGTGAATTTCTGAGACTATAACCATCGATGGGAGTAGAACCCCATCTTTATCCTGCGGAGATGCTGGTGGTAATTGAATTATAATGTAGAATTTAAAACACCGTTGAGAAAAGGGAAGTATGCCTATCCAGGACAACTTTTTCAGCTAAAATATATGGATTGTTGATTTGCACAGATTACAACTTAAGTAATTGGCACTGTTAACACAGAATGAAGGTTGGAGCTAGGGTAAAACGTTCCATCGCGCGCATTCCCGATGCCTGCTGGTGTCCCTTCTTCTAAAGGGCTGGCCTCACCCCTTTCCCAGGACAGACTTAATATCAAGATCTGACTTTCCAGGTTGCATTTTGCTTTGAATCTTTGCTGTGCCTTCCACATAATCAGATCTCAATGAAGGTTTAATAAATACGTTAAAAAGACATTAATATCTCTCAGTAAAATAATAGAAGGCTTAGGAATTTAGATCCCTTGATGACAATGTCATTTGCCCCAAGAATAAAGTCTCTCTGCACATCAAACACCTATCTTTAAGAACTTTTGAAACATCCACAAACAACACTATTGGAACATACCCGTGGGGTTTCTGACTGGGTTCTCCGAGCCACCATTAGCAGCAACTGTTGTTGGAGGGCACTGACTGCAGGGTCCCCAGAAGGGGCATCTTGACTCTCCGAGGTCGTAGTACTGCAGGAGCTGATCCGGACCTCTCTGGGAAGGGCAAAACAAAAGCTCTGGTTACCTGGAAATACTGGAAACCACCATTATACACAAACACAGAGATCCCAGAGATTCCCCAGGTGGCAAGGGAGGAGCCTTTACAACTCCATGCAAGCAGTTGAGAGTGGAAAAAGTATACATATGCAGTTGCCTTCAGGAAGAAGGGTATTTATTTTACACACAGTAAAGTTGCTCAGGTGTGCAGGGTTGCAGTGTGCAAAGGGCTGAGGAGGTAGTTGTGAGGTGTTTGGCAAGTAGTATCCTTAATGTTGTTCATGGTGAGGAAGGTGGCAGCACCAGATTCTCGCCTTGTTTGGGTAACAACAGTAAACAAAGGGCCTAACCATTCCCAAGACTCAAATTAGGAAGAATAGTGACAATCCCATATATCTATTACTTGTCTCCCTGTCCCCTAAACTCTACCCCATCTCCTCCCACCACACATATACCCCACAGCAAAGAGGTGCATATAACAAAAGAAATAACTCATACAGTTTTTTGAAGGGACATACCCTAGATGTGATCTATATCTGTATTGTTTTATTCTCTTTAATCATGTGTAGACTGACAGGATTTAAATCAATTATTTAATTAATCTCAGCACTGGCATTTTATGATATTTTTTCCTTTGCCTCAGAAATAAAGATACATTTCTCCATCTGATTTTCTGCCAGTTCCTCTAGCTTTTAGGAGACAATGTTGCTGGCAGACTCAACAGCCCGTGCCAGTTTTAGTCAATCGTGTAAGACTGTCCTTCTGAAGAGAGACGGATGGTTCATAGCCTCAGGAGGAAATCCTGCTTGTTCTAAGACAATCAGGATAACCTCAATCCCCTGGCTCCTTGTTGTCAAGAGGAGATGATTAGATACTTGCAGTTGTCATTATTTACTTAGATTCATCACCTTACTTAGTGTGATAGTCTGGGTACTTTAAAGAAACAAATCCACAGAAACTCAAGTATAAGAGAGAGTTTTATATAAAGGTTAACTGCGCATCAAGAACACATCCCCACCCAGAGCTGCCCAAGCCCACAAGTCCAACATTAACCCATATGTCCAACACCAATCCACAAAGTCCTCCTCCATCTCACAAAACACATGCAATGATGCCGACTGCAGGAAGAAAGTCGAGTCAGTGAACGTGTAAGCATCTCAGGGCTGGCAGGTGTCTCCACACGGCTACTCCAGCACCCAGGGCTGCATCAGGGTAGGTCCATGCGTCTTCTCCTCAGGGATGTCTTGCAGGAAGTGACCTTGCCAGCTGAAGCAGGGAACTGGCTAAGGCAGCTGCACCCTGGCCTGACCATCACAAAGCAAGAGACCCAAGAACTAGAAACGCAAGGCAAGGTTCACGAGCCATTTATCTCTCCGTCCTTCAATGAACCCCACATGTGTTTATCAGCCAGGTTGACACAATAAACTAACTACCTCACTTAGATATCATTGTCTGGGACCCTGATTATTCACATGGACCGGTTTACCCATTGAAGGTACCAAAGAGGCTCTTAGGTCCACAAAACCACTAACATGGCCAGGTCTTCAACCAATTTGAATAATTTACTTAAACATCTTCTCAAATTATCTGCTGCTAATTCTCCCTTTTTAAAACTATAAACTATGCTACATAGCCATCCAAAAAGTCTACATTTTACAGATTTAAGGCAAAAGACTTTCACCTTATTAATAAATTTAATGCAAGCGTGTTGAGCCCTTCTATAAGAGCAAATAAAATTGAGATCTCCCAAGTCTGTATTCTAAACTACAATATAAGGATACTTAAGTGCATCTAGTCTGACTTACCCTGCTCTCTGTAGTTTTATTAACGACTTTGACTCAGGTTATAGCACAGACAAATTTGTTTAAATTAGATTTAGCTAAAAGCAATAGACTGATTAATGGTGAAAATTACCAGAAAAGCTACTTCTAGGAAACAATATAAATGGAACTAGCGTACATATGGAGCTCCCATGTTTTCACCCCTCTGAGGTTCAACAAATAACAAACCTCTACCCGTGTGCTTCTAACACATTTTCCTACTGAGGTGGAAGAAAATTCCTGAAATTCTTCATCTTCCCCAAATCTCAAAATCATAGCGTCAGCTTGAGCCGTGTGTGCGCGCACGCAAAACTTTCCTTGTTTTTAGGGTTACTTGTAGGAACAAGAACAAATGGCATGTTGGATGTTTAAATAAAGGCAGTGCTATTTTGCAAATGATATTCCATTATTTAGCATTTTAAGGAGGATTCTTGGAAAGAGTCTGATAGAACGGCCGCAGCGGCAGGGGAGTCAGATAAGACTTCCAGCATGCGACTTGACTGCCACCACGTGGCAGAGGGATTGTGGCCATCTGAAAGGAACCACTGAATCCAGAGAAAAGTAGAATTCTTCCTGAGTCCATCTCTTCTCACTGTCTGGTGGGTCGAAGAACATTTAAATAAGGACTACAATGGAAGGAATGGAAATGGCTCTTATGGAAGTGTCTGCTGCTTACACCTTTATTTGATAAACTAGAACAAGACCTCTCCAAACTTTTACAATCGGAAGCAGTAAGCACACACATATCCATTATGCAATTTAAAAGGTGAGCAGAGCTCTACATCCTAAAACATTTTTAATTAAAGTCAACCCTTAGGTTATAAAAATCCGACTTCAGACAATTCAAACTAGTTCTGTATTGTGATTAAGTACCCATGAGTCTGTACTGGCTCTTGGTGACCCCACGTACAACATAGCCACACACTGCCTGCATCTGTTCCATTTTCATAATCATCGCTATGTTTGCATCCACTGTTGAGGCCATGCTGTCGATCTATCTCATTAGGCAGCTTCCTTTGTTTGGCAGTCTTCTTGGATGAAGCCACAATCAATGCTCGTGGAAGCAGCAGTCAAGAGAAAGACACACTGCATTAGCTACATCTATTGCACAAGACCTCTTTCGAATGTTGCAAAGAAATGGCGTCACTATGAAGACTAAGGTACTGCTGACCCAAGCCATGGTGTTTCCAACTGCCTACATGCATGTGAAAGTTGGAAATTGAATAAGGAAGACAAAAGAAAAATGGATGCCTTTGAACCATGATTTTGAAGAAGAATCCTGAAAGTACCCTCAGCTGCCAAAAGAATAAACATCTGTCTTAGAAGCAGTACAGCCAGAATGCTCCTCAGAGACAAGAACGACAAGACTTCATCACATGTATTTTGGACATCTTATCCCAAGAGACCAGTAATACTCTTGTAATTACAAAAGGACAAACATTCTATGATAATACTTTTATTAAAAGTCAAGTATAGTTTTACACCTAGAAAGTAAGATAAAAAGGGAGAGCGGGGAAGGTGTTGATATGTTGAGAGACTGCACATGAATCATGTGCCATTACAGATGAGCTCGGCATAAACACATTCATTCTTCCTCAACACATTAGCAACCTGGCCTTCTCGCCAAAAGCTATTTCACGAAGAGGAAGTGCATTGTGACAAAGCTAAGTCCAGGCTAAAGCAGGCGAAGCACAAAAGAGCTATAATATGGATACAAAATGAAAGGGATTTAAAAAGACCAAGAGTTGGAGGAAATTTAATAAAAAGAGTAATTAAGGGCTAAAAGCAAGTTCATAAGTGGATTTTGGTGAATGAAGAATGTTGTAAAACAATGCCGCTTACAGAAATCCCAATAGACACTCTCATTAATCTTTATTTGCACATTATGTGTTTTGGGGGTTTTTTAAGGCTCTGCATGTGTGGCCTTATTTTAACTACCATCAATGACCAAATGCAACTATTGATACAGAGAAGATGTGAAGTATATGTGTCCAGGAAAATAAGAATAAAATTGACTTGCAACATCACTTCAGTATAAAAAATATTTGCTAAAAAATGAGTTGAAAAAATTACCACTGGAGATTGCAAAATAACATTATCGTTTTCAAAGCTGTTTCTCAAAGCTGCCATTATAGACAGCTAAGCAGATTAAACTATTGTAACAGAATATTCTGAGAGGTTGGAACGAAGATCCTTCTGTTCTCAGGAATCCATTTGCGGGAGCACTTTTGATTTTTTTTTTTTTTCTTTTAAAAAAATCATTTTATTTGGGGCTCATACAACTGTTATCCCAATCCATACACACATCAATTGTGTAAAGCGCATTTGTACATCGTTTCTCAAAACATTTTCTCTCCATCCAAACCCCCGACATTAGGTCCTCATTTTTCCCCTCCCTCCCCGCTCCCCCCTCCCGCATGAGCCCTTGATAGTTCACAAATGGTTATTTTGTCATATCTTGCCCTGTCCGACGTCTCCCTTCATCCACTTTTTGATTGTCTGTCCCCCAGGGAGGAGGTCACACACAGTTCCATGTAATCGGTTCCCTCTTTCCTACCCATTCTCCCTTTACCCACCCTGTTTTGCCACTCACACCACTGGTCCTATAGGGCTCATCCGTCCTGGATTCCCTGTATTTTCAGTTCCTATCTGTACCAGTGTACCTCCTCTGGTCCAGCCAGTCTTGCAAGATAGAATTCGAGTCATGGTAGTGGGAGCGGGGAGGAAACCTTTAGGAACTAGAGGAAGGTTGTATTTTCTCATCATTGTTACATCGCACCCTGACTGGGCACTTTTGATTTTTGGCTGACGATGGAGGTACGCTGTTTTCTGTTTGTGTATTACCGGTTCTTGAGGGGCTGAGGAAGATGGAGAAGAGAGGAAGGTAAGGCAGGCAGTGGAGAGCAGGTGTGTTTCCCTCAGGATCAGGGCTGCCTCAGGACCCAGGTCCGGGGGCTTGTGTGTTGAGAAGAGAAATAGTGCCACTAGATATATCCAAATGCCGACACCTGTATAGCAGTAGTGAGAGAATGCCCGGAAAGTTGGGAATTGGAATATTTCCACATGGCAGGGCAGACTATCTTAGGGAACACTCCTGGAATTTCCCATAAATACCTAGGAAGAAAAGAATGCGCAGGACCATACGGTTTGAAATTAATATTCTTTTTCTTTTTTTCGGAGGGGAGAACTCAAAAGTTTATTTCTTCTTTCTTTTCTCTCTCTCTCTCTCTACCACAGCCTATCAGGAACCTCCAACTTTCAGAACAATGAGCTCAGGTTCAAAAGTGACTAGAAAAATCAATACTCTCAGTGAACAATCCACGCGGGTCACTAAGCAACGAAGGAACCCAGGGGAGGAGCAGACAAAGCCCTAAAAGGGGCTTTCAAAGTGTTCTCTCATCCACCAGGTTGCTGGAGGCGTGGGTAGCAACGCCTAGAAACTTGTGGTTTCGCGCTGGGCTGCTAACTGCAAGGTCTGCGGTTTGAAACCACCAGCTGCTCCCTGGGAGAAAGAAGAGGCTGCCCGCTCCTGTAAAGAGTTAATCTCAGAAGACACCCACAGGGCAAGGGCAGTTCTACCCTGTCCTGTAGAGTCACTGTGGTCGGCACCAACGTGGTAGCCGTGGGTTTTTGAGGGTTTCTGCTCCTGTAAAGATTTACAGTCTCAGAAAGCAATGGGACAGTCCTACGCCGCCCTCTAGAGTCGCCATGCGTCGGAATTGACCCCAGGGCAGTGAGGGAACGTGCCCAGCTTTGGAGATGCATCACAGGTGCCCAGGGTGGGAGGGCGCCCTCCCATTGTTGTTGTGACATCCTCATAGGTAGATGCTGGAAAGAGGAAAAGAGGCCCGTGGAAGTGGCAATAGAAATAGCCATTTTCAAGACGACGAACTCCTTTTCACCAGTTCTCTCAGCAACGCAAGTCGCTTTTGACTCACAGCAGCTCATACGTGTCCGAGTAGAGCCGTACCCCATCACGTCTCTTCCCAGGGCTGCCGTGTTTGGGAAATTGATCGCCAAGACTTGCTTCCAAGACATCTCTAGGTGGGCTCTCGGTTACCAGCTGAGCCCGTGTGTATCACCCGGGAATGCCTAATGTGTTAGTCTGGGTAGACTAGAGAAACAAATCCATGGATAGACATATGTGTATAAGAAAGAGATGTATATACAAAAGCAATTGAACATTGAGTAAACATCTCAGCCCAGTCCTGATCAAGTCCATAAGTCTAATATTAGCCCATATGTCCGATACCAATCTATAAAGTCCTCTTCAGACTCACGAAACACAGGCAAGGATGCCTAATGTAGATCACAGGCCAGTGGGTAGAAAGCCTTTGGATCCAGTGGCATCGGAAACACCTCAGCTCTGGTAGGGGTCTCTAAGTAGCTTCTCCGGCTTCCGAGGTCAGGGTAGGTCCACTGTGGTTTCTCCAACTTAGGGCACTAACGTAGTTTCATGTGTCTTGTCAGCTACAATGTCTCCCAGGGAGCCACCATTAATATCATTATTATGTCTTCTTCTTCTTCCCCTCTCCATCAGTTTGTCATGGCCTGCATTTTACTATGGCACTAGAAGCTATCCCACCAGTTTTACTGGAGCTTCCAGACTAAAAGAGACCAGGGAGAAAAGCCTGGTGATCTACCTCCAAAAATTAGATGCCGAATCCAATAGATCATAAAAGAATATTGGATTATGATTCCAACCACTCCTATCAGATATGACAGAACTAACCCATGGGTTTTTCCAGGCTGTCATCTGTGCAGGAGCATATCCCCAGGTCTTCTTCTTGCGGAGCCACTGGTGGATTTAAACTACTAACCTTTTGGTCACAGATGAGGGCTGTACCACCGTGGTATGGCCCAAAAATGAGCCCCTCTGGGTTGCAAGGCAAGACACACTAGCCACAGCACTGTGCTAGAGCATACCAGCAACCATGAACAAGGTGTGAGTCTGGGCACCTGTTCCTTCAGTTGTGTACAAGGTCGCCGTGAGTCACAGCTAACTTCATGACAACTAACATAAACAACACGACTCCATTTATACTCCCCAGATGTAAGGCTAGGACATTCCAGTTGTCTTACAAAATCTCCTGTAAAGTCTCAATGTTATATGCAATCCTAAAAAAAGATCTAAAACATTTACTTACACAATCAATCAATACTCACCTATAATATATTCTCTGCAAAGGACCTTTAAAGTCAGTAGAAATCCAGTCTGCTACTAAGATGATTTATAGGTTTCATAATGTTGCCATTAATTAGGTTATAATGAGGACATACAAGCTAATTTAATATTAATTTTTTGGAAAACTATTTTATGGGGAGTTAATACAGATACCATATCATTCTATCCTACAAGTAGTGTTGCACAATTAATTGCCACCACAATCAGTTTGAAACCATTCTTTTCCTTCCTCAACTCCTTGACATCAGCTCCCTTTTATGCCCCCCACCACCACCACCAGTGTACCCCACCCCCAGAAACCCTTATTCTATTTCCTGTAACTATAGGTTCATCAATCCTGTTTTATATACAGAAAAACAGAAAAACATATAACAAAACTTCCAGACGGTAACTCCCAATGACATAACATATCTGAGATAAACCTCAATATGAACAAACAAATATACAGAAAACGTTGAAAACCAGATCAGGCCTAACATGTATCAGAGCAGGGATCAACTGCACGATTTTAACCATTTTAGTCAGGTTTATCATGTTGAACTTCTCTGTTCATCTCTCCAATGCTCTCTATGTAGTAACCACTTTCCTCCCATCCCTTTATTGTAGATAGAAGACACCACCAGAGGTTTATTTCCTATGTAGATGCCACAAGTGTATCTTGGGCTCCCACTGTCAACCATAACCTTCTGTAAAACAGATTCTCACAATTTAGGCTCTGAGACTGTTCCTTTCTTCTACTTTGGATGATGTGATTTACAATCCTTCGGTGACTGATGATGGGGTGCTTCTTCCACATGGACTTAGTTGACATCTCAGTTAGATGGCTACGTGTTTGGAGACAAGCCTTTAAGATCCCAGATCTGACAGTTGGGTACTGTCTAGTTTCTTCACTACCCTTTGCTATAACACCTATATCTTCTGTTTCCCCTACTGAGGGCGAGTATTGAGCAGGGCTATGACGTAAGAACTAATTGTTCTTAAATTGGAGCTAGGATTTAATGAGAGCTCAAAACTCATTTCTGGAGTTATGTTGTTCATTTGGTTTTTTATCTGTCTTTCGCTCCCTTTCAAAACCCCCTTGTTAATTTATGGGTATTAATTGAATTAAAACAATTAAGAAAACTATTCAACACTTTCTGAAGTAAAATAGGAGAGATGTTTCGATGATATATGTACAGTTTACCTTCACTTCTGTAAATGAGAACTAGACATTTCTAGTCCAACCATGTGGACAAGTTTAATAATATCTACTTGGACTGTGCCATAATCTCCTGTGAATTATAAGCGTCATCATGCTTGCAAAGGGTCCTTCTCTAGTTATAATGACATGTTATGTATTATGTTCATTTTTGGAAGTGACTGTTATGAAAAGGTTGTTTATTTTTTCCTTATACTAAAAGGTCACAGTTTCTTTTCCTTTTACATCAAAACCATGAATTATCACATGGTAAACTGATTAACATGAGGACACCTCACTTCAGTCTCAGTTAGAATTGCATGTCTTCCAGCAATGCAACAACTCCAAAACCTAAAAGCAAAGCCCCACTTACCTGGTATTAGAAAAACAGTCATAATTAGACAACTGGTGTTGCAAAGGTCCTTCTTTCTGATTCCCAGATTTTAGATAACAGGATCTAATTTCCCCTGTAAAATCAAGAAATTTCAGCAAAAATGTTACCCAATTATTTGTGCATTATCGTTTCAGCTTATCCCATTCTCAAGTTAAGGGAACTGCTTTGATTGAACTATTTTAATCATTATGCTGACAATATGGATCCATCACTTATATTTCTTCACAAAATGCGTACCATGAGAAGATAAGGAATATTGAAAAGAAAACTCACTAAGAAAATATTCTAGATATACTTAACTGGTAATATGCTAAAATAAATTTGGACTCATTAAATTATTGATTTGGAATTTCTCTTGACTTTTTAAAAACTGGTACGTGAAAAAGTATGGCTACTGGGGTTTCAGTGGAATGGATCCAGACAAGTTCTCTCAGTGATATGCTTGTCTTAGTTTCATTAGGATGCACTCAAAAAAGGTCCATTCAAAATAGTGCCTTCCAGGGGCTGAGCTGGGCCGGTTCAATTCAGGCAGAAGGTTATCTCAGAAGGTTCTGGCAACTGCTTTGGGGAAGTTTGATGGTTTTCGTCTCTGATTTTTTTAGAGGGCATTGCAAAGGACACATCTCGATAGATTTTCTCAAAGGGCACAGGTCAATCACTTATAAGAAGTTATAATAAAGTTTAAAATTGCATTAGTGAGAAATATGTCAGGAATGCTTCACAGGATTTTTTTTCCCCATCACAACCACGCACATGCTTATTTTTCAGGGGTACCAAGGGTTATCCTCTAAGACTTATTCAGGGAAACCTTACAGATCCACTCTACCACCCCTCAGATTTATTTTTATGCCAAAATGCCCAATGTCAAGGACTATTGTGAAGGAAAACAATTTGAACTGTTTGAAGATGCTGTTTGAACCCTGGTGGCGTAGTGGTTACACATTGAACATATGAACCACAAGTTCAGCTGCTCGAAACTGTCAGCCGCTCCTTGGGAGAGAGTCGGCTTTCTCCTCCTGTAAAAAGGCAGTCTCAGAAACCCACAGGGGCAGTTCGACCCTGTCCCACAGGACTGCTGTGACTCAGCATTGACTCCATGGCAGTGATTTTTATAAATTAACGAATTTTTTAATTTTTATAAATTTTATCAATTAAAGAATTTTTTAATTTTATAAAATTTTTAATAAATTATTTATAAATTATCGTTTAATTATTAAAATGTTTATAAACAAAAATTCATTTTAGGAACAATTAGAGAGGGTCACTTTAAGAAGTATATAGACTTAGGTGAAAGGTATGTGAAGAAATAATCATTTCACATCTTGATATTTTCGTTTAATCGGGCTTTCTATTATTTTATAACAATATTTTACTTACTCTCATATATTCTTTTTATTTTTGTATGTATATTCCCTTCATGTGTCAATGCGATCTTTGCTAAGCTGCAAGTGCGTACACAGACACATCAGTATCATATGCACAAAGTGACTTCATACAACTACGCTGTAATGGGTGGCCTAGAAAGTCATCCACCACCAACAGAGTGCAGAGGAGGAGTGACCCCGCAGCACACTGGTGAGGTAACAGATGATGAGGGAAATCAAGACCAGAATTAATTTATAGAGTTAAACTAGCTCCACTAAAGAAAATTCAGTCTATTAAGGTATGAAATCAGTTGCTGTCCTAAAAGACTCTCCCCAAAAGAGTTCTTACGAATACCTTTTTAGGTAAATGTGGACTGGAACTCAAAGGCTCACGCCATTAAAGTACAATTTCATCTAAAAGAAATTTCGAGAGAAAAGGGTCCTTTCAAAGCAGGGATGGGGAATTTCCAGCCCTTGGGCCTTATAAGGCCCATGAAATCCGAGTGCCAGCTCATCAAATAGAAGTCGTCCCTGCCATCAAATTAGGGTGAATTAATTAAAAGTTTGACATAAGCAAGAAGAATCAATGGTACTAACAGAAGAATTTCAAGCTGCACTGAAAGTATAAGCCAAATACAAGGCTCCAGGAATTGAAGGGATACTGAATGCAATGTTTCAACAAGCTGATGAAGCACTGGAAGCACTTACTCATCTATGCCAGGAAATTTGAAAGACAGCTACCTGGCTAACTGACTGGAAGAGATCCATACGTGTCTCCATTCCAAAGAAAAGTGGCCCAACACAATGCTCAAATTACAGAACAACATCATTAATCTCACGCTTAAGTAAAATTTTGCTGAAGATCATTCAATCACGGTTGCATAAATACATTGACAGGGAGTTGCCAGAGGTTCAGGCCTGATTCAGGAGGGCATGGAACAAAGGACTATCGCTGCTGATGTCAGATGGATCTTGGCTGAAAGCAGAGAATACCAGAATGATGTTTACTTGTGTTTTATTGCCTGTGCTAAGGCATTCATCTGTGTGGGCCCTAACAAGGGATGGATAATTTTGAGAAAATGGGAATCCCAGAACACTGCATTGTGCTCATGTGGAACCTGTTCATAAGTCAAGAGGCAGTTGTGAGAACAGAGCAAAGCACACTGCAGAGTTTAAAATCAGGAAAGTTTCATCCTCTCACCAGATTTATGTAATCTGTATGCTGAGCAAATGATCAGAGAAGCTGGATTATATGGAAAGGAATTCAGCATCGGGATTGGAGGAAGGCTCATTGACAACCTTCAATAAGCAGATAGCATAACCTTGCTGACTGCAAGTAAAGTACTTGCTAAAGAAGCTCAAGGATTACAGCTTTCAGTATGGATTACAATTCAATATAAAGAAAACAAAAACCCTCACAAGTAAGCTAGTAGGTAACATCTTGATAAATGGAGAAAAGGTTAAAATTGTCAAGGATTTCATCTTGCCTGGATCTGCAATCAATACTTGTGGAAACAGCAGTAAAGAGATCAAAGACATATTGCATTGCGTAAATCTTCTGCACAAGAAGATTTACTCTGTAAAGTGTTGACAAGCAAGGAGGTTTCTTTGAGGACCATGGTATTTTCCATTTTCCATTGCTTCATATGCATTTGAGAGTTGAACACCAAATAAGAAAGAAGAACCAATGCATTTGAATCATAGCACTGATGAAGAATATCGAAAACACCACGGATGGTCAAAGAACCAACAGATCCGTCTTGGAAGCAGTACAGCCAGAATGCTCCCTAGAGACAAGGATGGTGAGACTTCACCTCACATACGTTGGACATGGTGTCAGGAGAGAACAGTTCCCAGAGAGAGGCATCCTGCTTGGTAAAGTAGCAGGGACCTGAAATACAGCAAGACCTTCCACAGACGGATGGCACAATGGCTGCAACAAGGGCTCAAACCTGATGACCAGTGTGAGGAGGTCACAGGACCAGCGAGTGTTCGGTTCTGTTGTGAGTGGGGTCGCCGTATGTCGGACCCAATTTGATAGCGCCTAACAACAGCAGCACTTTTTAAGTTGATAACTGTGTATGGTCTGCGAATGATGCCATAAATATCCATATGGTCATTGGCCCTTGGCAGAAAAATGGTGCCCTACCCCTGCTCTAGAGGCTAATTTCTTTCTTTATAACATAAAAGTCATTTTCATAATAACCGTTCTCTTCGTTTTTATATCAGGAGGAAGATGGGACTTTCTACTCCTGTAAACAGGGGTTGGGCGGTTGGGGAGGGGTGCATCACTATCACTCGACATAAATTCCCTGGCAGTGAGTAAGTGAAAGAGTTACGGTCTCGCAAATTCACATGGGCAGTTCTATCCTGTCTTAAAGCGACACGATGAGTCAGCATTGACTCACCGTCAGTGAGTTTAGTTTTGATTTTGTTTTTCTACCGATTGAAAAGCTCTTAAGACTATAAACTATCCATCAATCTATACCAAACCAAAACCAAACATGTTGCCAACAAGTCCATGTCAATACATGGCAACCCTATAGAACAGAGGAGAATTTCCTTATAGGATTTAAAAGGCTGCACATCTTTATGGACACACATATTCTCATCTTTCTCCCATGGAGGAGCTTGTGGTTTGAATCACTGACTTTTCAGTTGGCGGCCAAGCATTTAACCACTGAGCTGCCAGGGCTTCTTCAGGGTAGAATTGCTCAGAGGATTTCCACAGATCTAATCTTCAAGTTTATACCAAGAAAGTGAAACAATATATCAAGGTCAGGCTAGGCAGAGAGCTTGCAGTTTGGGATGAGGATGGGAGTGGGCAGGGGTGTGTCATTAATCAAATGATTGTACAACTAAACAAATAATTGTAACTTTAATAAAATCAAAAGAGTAAAATAACAAGATACTAACAAAGGACAAAAGAGAGGAAACTGATCAAGTCTAGGGAGTCCAGAGAAGTTTTTTTTATTTAGAATTAACATAGGGACCTACTTGGCATGTGCAAACGACCTGAGACAGGAGGACGTACAACATGTTCTAAGAACATTCTGTTTGTAATCATAGGGCTGAGGCTTCCCATTCCAGAGTCTAGCACTCATGGTAAGAGAAATATGTCAGCTTCCCCCATGGGCCATGAGGAAAGAGTTCACAGCACTTACCATGTTCGTCAATGAAGACATGCATAGCATCCACTGACGTCTCCTCTTGCACAGATGTCTCGGGCCCACTGATGACTTGCAAGACAGAGCTATCTTGTTGAGAAGTTACCTTGTAGATGATTTGCCTTTGTCGACTGCCCTGAAAACTAAACACAGATAAGAGTTTCAAAAACAATGAAGAACTCATCCTTATCCTCAATACTCCAAACCCAACCCATTGCCATCGAGTCAATTCGGACTCACAGTGACCTATAGGGCAGGAGTGAACTGACCCTGTGGGTTTCCTATACTGTAACTCTTTCAGGCAGTAGAAAATCTCATCATTCTCCCTCAGAGAAGCTGGTGGTTTTGAACTGCTGACCTTACAGTTTGCAGTTGAAACACCACATAACCACCACGCCACCAGGGCATCTTTAAAAAAAACAAAAACAGCATGGTGATACTGGGAGGGTGGGTTGGAAAGGGGGAACCGATTACAAGGATCTACATATAACCTCCTCCCTGGGGGATGGACAGAAAAGTGGGTGAAGGGAGACGTTGGACAGTGTAAGATATGACAAAATACTAATGTATAAATTATCAAGGGTCTATGAGGGAGGGGGGAGCGGGGAGGGAGGGGGGAAATGAGGAGCTGATGCCAGGAGCTTAAGTGGAGAGCAAATGTCTTGAGAATGTTGAGGGCAACGAATGCACAAATGTGCTTGACACAATTGATGTATGTATGGATTGTGATAAGAATTATATGAGCCCCCGATAAAATGATTTAAAAACAAAAACAAAACAGTAACTGAGACTGTCTGGCACTCCGAACCAGTGTGAAGTTAAGTAAATTACCCTTACAGGGCTGTGATCTTGGCAGGCTCTGTGAACACAGGGCTGGTATTAGGATGGTCTTGACTTGACACGTCTGATCTTCCTTGTCTGGAATTGCATCCGCCGGGCTTTTCACGTTCCGGAATTTCCTCCTTTTTCTCCTGACCACAGTTGTCTGAGGAAACATTGTTTTTTATTTGTTAATACAACATTAAATACGAAAGTACTTGTGAAAGCACTTGGAAGTAAATTACCCAAGTTGAAATAAGCATAGATTCAACTTGTAAATTTTTTAAGAAACAGAAACGTGTTGCCATAGAGTCAGTTGCACTTTACGGTCACCCTCTAGGACAAAATTGAACCGCCCCACAGGCTCCCATGCTGGGCTTTCTCGTAGAACAGACTGCCAGCATTCCTCCTGGGGCGTCACTTAGGGGTCCAAACCACCAACTCTTCAGTCAGCCGCTGAGAGGCACCACCAGTTCTTAGAAATTCAAAATGCTTTTCAATAAATTGTATTTTTATTAATTCTGATGGTTGTTCTAATTGACAGCTTCCAAATCATAGTTCCCTAGGATGGAATGTTTACTGGAACTTATTACCGGGTCTTTTTTCCTAAGGAACTGCAAGTACGTTTGCACCACTGAACTTTAAGTCAACAGGGAAGCATGTAACCATTATGTCATTGTAATTATGAGAGTACCCAAACATATTTGAAAAGCAAAAGTGCTTCTATGTTTGTGACTTGTCTTTATTACACTTTAAACATCGATTTTTAAAAAAAGCACTCACTGCCACGGAGTCCATCCTGACTCAGAGAGACACACTGGATTTCGGAGCCTGAAACGGTTTATGGGAGTAGAAAGCCCAGTCTTTCTCTGCAGAGCAGCTGGTGGATTCAAACGGCCGACACGGTGGCGAACAGCCTACGGAGGAGCCACTACAGTATCAGGGCTCCTCCAAACATCTATAAGTACCATCTGTTTTACATTATGATTCGGGGATTTTCATGAAATAACTCCAGTGAGCACTGGCTTGCCTAAGTTGGAAATAACTCTCAGGGTTTAATTTTTTTTTCTGATTTTGACTCCTTTTTGACCAAGAAATTTGCATCTTGGGCAAGCACTGCCAGAAACCCTTGGGTTCATTACATGTTTAATTTTGAATTAATGTTTCATCATTGCATGTTCAGAAACCTTTTATGGCTGTCCAGTTTTCACAAGCATTCAGTTAGATTACCTGGGGCTGAAAGGTTCATAAATCATAAATGGACACTATCAGATGAAACAAAAGGTTTATCAAGAAACCTGTAGATTTCCTGTGCTAAAGGTTTAGGAGCAGACTTACATTTATCATTTCATAATCTTATTAGTCTTTTTTTCTCACTCATTCTCCAAATCTATACTTAAAATAAAAGTAGAATGGTTCCTTCACAAAGCAAACAGTTGTTAAGTTTAGCTGATTAGAGCTATATTCCCAACACTCTGGAGGATGTAGTAAGATACTTTTGCCAAATGAAATGTCAATATTTTTGTAGTTTTTTTTCCCTTACCATTTATATATATATATATATATATGAATTCTAAGATCAAAATATACAGAATGGTGAAGGTAGATTGGATTAATAGTCCTCTTAACCTATGGACCAAAATACAGATCTTAGCTTATAGCATTATATAAAGTTGAAGATGCTCTGAAAACTCAGTCCTTTCTTTATCTAGACCATCAATTAGTTTTAAGGTCAAAATTACCAGTGTAGTCCCATAACCAAAGTACCACTAAAACTAAAGCCCACTGTCATTAAACCGATTCTGACTTTTAAAGGCCCTATATAGGGTTTCTGAGCCTGTAAACGTTTATTGAATCACATAACTTTATCTTTCTCATGGGAGTGGGTAGCCTCATCTTCTTTTATCTACCCAGTGGCTGGTGTGTTTGAACCACCACCCTTGCAACCAGCAATCCAATGTTTATCCAACATCACCACCAGGGCTCCTTCCATTCTTAGACGTCAAGTAATTAGAAAAGTATTGCTAGCTTCCATGTGAGGCCCCACACATCTGAGGAACCACAATACAAATGTTTGGTACAAAAATATTTACATTTCATTTGACAACTTGTCAAGATACAAATTTTCAGTTCTCAAGAAACACGTTTATGAAAATCATCATTATAAAAAATACCATAACTCGATGATGTCCCTTAAAAAAAATAACAGAAAAGCACAGAATAGATGAAAAAAAAAACCCTGTTACTCAAGAAGTTCTACCTAATTCACACTGCATGTCTTTAGATTTATTTGTTCATATCTCTTTATCCTGTTCAGTCTCCTTGTCTCTTAAATGGGTACACTTCATACTCCAGAATATGGGTGATATTTCCTTTTAAATTTGGGGGGAGTTTTTATGTCCATAAAATAACACATTTTCATTGTATATAATTTAAAGAGGGGAAAAATCAATTACTCTTTTCTATTAATTGTAATTTAATACATATATTATATCCTTCCATAGTTCTATCATGTCCAGTAGAGTTGTACAATTGCTACCACAATAAGTTTCCATTCTTTTTCTACCTGGGTTCCCTGACATCATCTCCCTATTATCCCCACGACCACCACTGCCACTCTACCCACCTCCTCCCGGACGCTTATTCTACTTGCTGTTCCCACAGGTTCATCAATCTGAATTTCATATAGCAAAAAACAGGAAAATGTATATCAAAACTTCAAGAGGGTGACTTCCAATGACATAACAACTCTGATATACACCCTATTATGGACAAACAAAACGTTATGTGGTAGTTACATAATCTGGTGTCAACTTGAGATTATTAACAGTGAAGGGATGGAATTTAGCCTGTCAATCAGGTCACAGCTTGATGACCTTATTTGGAGATGCTAGGTCAGTGGTTCTCAACCTTCCTAATGCCAATATAGTTCCTCATGTTGTGGTGACCCCAGCCCCAACCATAAAATTATTTTCATTGCTACTTCATAACTGTAATTTTGCTACTGTTATGAATTGGGTGACCCCTGTGAAAGGGTCGTTCAATCCCACAAAGGGGTTGTGACCCACAGGTTGAGAACCGCTGTGCTATGGAGATATATAGCTCACTAGAAGCCAGTCTCTCTCTCTCTCTCTCTCTCTC